CACGTGCAGGCCCCGAGGGATGAACAAATGATTCTATCAAGTCTGTTCAAATCAAAGCTTTTTACCAGGTATTTTAATAAAAGTTACTATTTATAGTTTGTGAGCCTTTTGTCCTTTGCATTTTGACTTGAACTCAAATGTAAATAGCATTTATGACTAGCGAAGGGAAACATTTAACGTACTCACATCTGGGTTAACGCGACTGACTACTGTGACMTACTCACAAAAACGGTAAACATCGACCCTATTTAATTGACTTAACAAGCGATAATCAGATTACGACGCTTTAAGCGAAATCGTTTAAGACAGTTAAGTAAAATCGTTTTTTAAAAACCATGATAAAAGCAATGGCAAAAGATTATTGGTTATCAAAACAAAAACACGATGTTTGCCGAGTTAATCATAAACAAACACAACGAGAAAACCCGTATGAGATAACGGTGTCTTCTTGATTGAAGTAGAGTCGTGCAGTTGTTCATACTATCCCTCATGGGTACCTTACGTTGCCAGGGAAAGGCATGAACCTGCTGAAAAATGCGCTAAACTAGAATAGTGGCTTTGTTCACATGACGTAAATGGGGGCGGTCGTCTTTTTGAGTTCGTTAACAAAGTCTAGCAGGTGACTAAGTTAACGTCAAATAATTACAATCATTACTAATGCACATTGCTTTGAAACAGGTTTTTAGACCGTCTTCATCAATGAATAGAAGTCTATGAACACAACCTACAAACCAGGGCTAGTGTGTATTCTAACAAATAAAACAATTGATAAAAGCTTCGTGAATGGACCACATTGGGACACTGGGTCTCATAGCAAAGACTTATAAGCCTTACAGCAAGGGAAAGGCTTATTTTAAATGTAGTATGAAGCGATGTCGAGCACTCACTGACACATGAAATTACACCATTGTTTTTCTCGACATTTTTTTGACATTTTTATCGCTGCGCTCCATGAGGCCCGTCTCCTAGACCACGTTTTTAATAACACTGTTCACCCATTACCAGAAATACACGCTTCTGGTACAAGTTTCTTATGAAATATCTTGTCAACTTCATGGGATCCAAGAGATTTCCACAATATTTGATCAAAACACCAACAAAGAAATAGTTCACAAACTAAACTAATTTATAGCTTAGTATAACATTACTTTACTAAGATAAGTCGAGTCCTTAAATCAAGTTAAAAAACGAATCAAATCGGCTCAGTTCTTTATATTCTATATATTTATATAAATTGTATTTTTTAGGGGGAACCAGAAAATAAAAAAAATAACAACATGCGTTTGAAAACAACTAACGGATATTAATCTACAGGTGAATGAAGTGCTAATCGCACAGTAAATTTAAATATGAAGAAATGACACCTCGAGTCTGCCCTTTATCCAGAAGAAACGCCCTCATCACAGGTCACACCAGTAAAGCGTTAAACTTAAAAGCGCACCGACTCATCACATTAAACACCTTGAAACGAAAACTGTCTTAGAAAATCCACATCCCGAATCAATTAATAGGTCGTACATTATATAACTGAGAAATGACAAATTTGAACATTATCTTATAAAGTGTGACACCAATTTGTCAAGTTTATTGACCGTGGTGAAGAGTTCAAACGAAAATGTAGTTTGGCAATAAAGGTATGTAGCGGAAAGAAAACATGGCTTCCGATGGACGACTTTGTTGTATTAAAGCATCCCTGCCTGAAAAGAAATGTTGTTAAGTGGATATGTTAAGATAGTGGCTAGACATCGAGACTTGATGAATGTACTACAAAACTACTAAAAGATATTTGAACTTCAATTGCTCTATCAAGGCACATAATTTATAGTTTTTTGTATTAAGGATTGCGATTCACAACTATTCTTGTATGGTATAGTAGCCATTCTAACTGTCCAGTCTCAAACTTGTACAAATTATTGACATCTAAGATGACCAACAATTATATTTTTCTAAGAAAATCATCATAGTACAGTGTATGAGAGTGGTAAAAATGACTTTTTGGTGAAAACTAATAAAAAAAGACATAAAAAAGTTGCACAATTTGACAAGTGCATTTTATGAGAGGATCGAAAACCATAAGTAAATTCAAACTTGAAAACTTGAGTTTGTCAATGAACGATTCAAAATATTTCACTTAGAAGTATTAGAACAATTTAATGATAGATTAAATCGATTTTTCAATCGTCTAAATAGATTTAAGCTAAGTATTATATGGAATTAAATGTAAGATAACTTTTTAAAATAGTAGCTCCAAGCAATTTGAATTCTAAGATACTAAAAGAAATATAGGAACTAGCTTCATTGTATATTCAAGTTCTTAGCCATTCACTAAATCAAATAACGAAGACTCTATTAACAACAGAGAATTGAAAGTCTGACATAGCATACTTCTATTCGAAGAGAAACACCTCTCGCGATCTTTATCAACAAAAACAGGCTTTTCCAATTCATGCAAATCGCCTTCGGGTAGAAACGACAAGAAAGGCGTGCTATTCTATTTATATAAGTTTACTAGATGTAAAATCTATTTAGCTGTTATCAGATAACGTGGTTCGATGTGACGCATCTTTATCAGTTTTATCTTAATGTAAAATACAGTAGTTTGATGAAATGTACTTTAAATTAATCAGAATCTCAAGGGTTGAATGTAGAGTGGCGGATTATAATATAGTACTAAACTAAAACTACTTTATTTCTCAATGGGCCTGACTAATCTCAAGAATAATACGCTTTAGGTAAGGGCTTTAGATACAAAGTGTCAAGTACAGTGTGTTTTACGTTAAGGACTTTGACATAGGAGCATCCTTGAAGGATGAAAGTGGATTAAATCGACAGGAATATACTACTGTATCTGTCTTTATTACCGTTTGTTAACCAATCAAATCATTGTAAAAAGAGTTTCATTAAATTACAAAGATATCTTTTATTATATTAAAACCAATTTATCTCAAATAGTTTCAAAATACCACGACATTCCTTGGACAGGATAAACGCATAGACGCCCACAACAAAAACACAGATTGTTGCCGCGTATTCCCATATCAATATAATAACGTAAGGAAATACACTTATAATCCAAACAAGTTGAACTCTTTTTAATAAACACAGAACAGAGCTTGCCTCCCACTGTTGGGCCAAACCCAAATATTTGTTGTGTAAGATGTTGTTTTCRAGTATTCATCCAACAATAGGCGTTGTATAACAAATATTAAAAGGTTTAAAGTGCCTATTAGGGGTTTTAATAAGGACAACATTTCCCTAAGCATTTCAGATAACAAGTATTGTGGTCGASGAYGAAATAGTTTATGAACTAACAACACGCGCGTGTTATAACTTCAAAGTTTCATCAGTTTTGTACGATTCAATAATCCCATTAGTGACTAATTGAAGTGAACTTAAAACTTTTTGCCCAACAAAATGGAACAGGTTTTATAATTATGGTAAATTAGTGTTACAAAGCTACATCAAGTAGAAGGGATACTAGAAAACGTGGTTCTTGTCTAAAAACCAAAGCTAATTTGAAGCAAATAAAAGATATTTTTCATTAAAGTAGTGGTTGAAGTCTTGTTTGGCGGTCGTCCATCTTGAAAGAAAGGGTTGTGTATTAAAGATGGTCGTCTTATGAAGTACACAAGGTACAATATAACCTGCCGTCAACTAATTGACGTTTAATTTGTCCATGATAAGTGCGATGAAGRGACTCATTATGAATTCCATAATCCATACATTCAATAAACCATATAATACAGCTTYAAATGTTGACTGACGCATCCCCTAAGACGAGTATTAAAGCACACTGACCRATGTTGCCTAAACTACTGAACAAATCGAMGAAATTTTTACATATTTTAATAAATGATGAACCGAAGATTGCCACGATATGTAAATAATAACAATCTWAATRTCTTAGCGGGATYCTTTCAGAACTGAACTCGAATTCCACCWTGAAGGACGGCAATAACCCTCAACAAACAGCTCTGTTAAGACAATGTTGCTTTCAAACARGAATGAGCTTCGATTCAAAAACTTAGTTTGCAACCAAATCTTTTTTCAAAGCCTTCGTGTTGTCATTGTTTCGCCCTTCTCAAACAATTAAAAGTAATTCTCCCACAATCAAATTAATTAACTTCGCTAGAAATTCAGAAATGATACAACAAAAGAGACGAGGGGGAGTGTTTGCGAACTGAATGATGGGTGCAGCTGTTCAAAAGGAATGTGGTATTGTTACTGAGTGTGCAGCACTTCCATATTCAAAAACATTGTCTTTCTCCTTCAAACACTTAGCAAGAGCTCATTGAAACCCTCTTGATTCGAAAACAACCTGCATAAAAAAAAGCASACAGATATTCACAAATGCAGGTCAACTGTCTAAGCGATAGATGAAATTTTTATTGATACAGGTTTAGAACGCTACATACCAGCTGTTTTAGAACGAAGCAAATTTGGTAATTGAATAAAAAGCCCTGCTGTGCCATGTATCAATTAACCCTGTTTAGCTGGTTGAAATAACACGACAGGTTCACTGGAACAAAAGAATGCCTTAACACCGATAGCTGCTCAACCTTTCTTTTCACAAAACGACCTTTCTTTTCAACATCCAAACGTGCACTCAAATGGACAATAAYACCAAAAACGATGTCTCAATTCTTTTTAGTGCACTGGAGTTTGGGGAGGCTTCATGGTGCCATCTCAATAGTTTGCAATTCGWAGCGAATTAATTAAAAAAAAMCCAGACCACTTGAAAAGAGTACTCAAAGTATAGAGCACTTGTTCACAATGAGATCTTCAATAGTTCAACCCTTGATAAAAGGTTTTTTATAGAAACTAGAAAATGAAGGGCTCGACATGGGTAAGAATTCAATTTGTCATAAATGTACTACATGGTTAAACATGTCAACATCATATAAGTGAASTTCTTCCTTAAACTATGTGAATCGTTCCTGATCCTATTATAACAATCAAAGAAGAACAATTAGCCAACGAGATTGATAGGTAAACATTGATTTAACAAAGTATTAATTTATTGTGATTCAACAGTCCTTAGTTATGGATTTAAATAATCTGTCACCAATTCATTGCCAAAGAAATAATTGATTAAAGTGCTCTCTAGCAAAATATATAATATATCTTAATAAGCTCTATAAATCTATGAACAATAAACATATATTCATACGAAAACTATGGTAATCTAATTGTTAGATTAACCGTACGTGTCTTGCAAACGAATAAAAAAACTACCAAAACACAATATAAAACAGATAAAAGATAGTCGATGTTGTGCAAGAATTATATACAAATATGTTACAATACTTTCCTTTTTAAGGACATTCATATACTCTGTGTCTTTCCATTTTATAATAGATGGATGGAATTCAATATTTAAATAAAGTTCTCCATTGTTTTTGTCGTCTCTTTTTAACAATTGTTGAACGAAGAGCGTTAGTGATGCATAAAACCACTATAGCCTGGTGGAATTCCATAAGGTGAACGATATAATAGACCCATTGACGGACTGTAGTTCGATGAAGGTAAAGAAAGATGTGAATACGGCTGTAAAGAATAAGTTCCATTGCAAGATGAATCACAGCACATCGAGACATTCCCCATTGTAGACGAGAACCCACTAGGAATGTATGGCTTCGCTGCGAGTTTTAGTTTCTCAAGTTCTGCTTCATGAAGCCTCTTTGCTTTTGCTCTTCGATTTTGAAACCATATTTTAACTTGTGTTTCTGTGAGGTTTAACGATGCTGAAAATTCAGCTCTTTCGGCAATGGACAGGTACTGTTTTTGGCGAAACTTCCTCTCCAGCGCGAGTAGTTGCGATGTTGTGAACGGTGTCCTTGGTTTTCGGTTTGCTTTGTGTTTCCTCAGTTGGCATTTAGAAGGACTAAGCCGTGACCTGATTCCTAAAACATGGAATTGAAAGTGTTAACGATACTTAAGACAAAAGGCATATAACTTTGCAAAATCTTTGTTCTCATCCACAATGAAATGGCCCATGCTGTTCGAGCTACGTCGTTCGACGCGGGACTAAATGCGTGAGACAATTGAAGTAATTACGTTACGAGAAATCTTTGATGTGTTAGACAAGGCCGATATATAGAATGTTTTACTTACGTGGTGGTGGGTCATATCTCGTTGAGTGCATCCAGGGAAAGTCCGTCGATGTTTCTTCAGATTCTTTGGAGTCCCTCCTGTCTTGAGATGATTGTTCTGACTTGGTTTCAAGATCCTCTTCATTTGATGATGGCSTATTCAAAATCATGTCCATTGAAAAATTACTTGGATGTGCTGGTGTAGTGTCGCTGACACTAGAGTTTTTTTGGTCCGGTTTTGATATAAGAGCYTCAACGCTGAAGGAAGCGGTCCGAGAAGACGAAAAAGGTACAGATGTTGAAGGCTTAATCTGTCCAGCCTCCATTTTAATGTCCAGTAATTGCGCAAAATACCTCCAAAGCCTAAAGATGTTAGATTTTAGAGAGCGGTTTCCCAAACGCTAGCTGGTTACAGAATGGCAATGTCATAAGGTGCCTTTGGCTTTATTCCACTCGAGTGCCGTTCGCCTGCTGCGACTAGTCATTTCACCACTCGAATATTAGACCCAGCCTAATAGGGCACAAGATAATTGTGTCATTATCAAGCAAATTTGTTGTTGATAAGTATCAGCCAACCACAGCGCCGGTTAGGTGTCATCTTTAAAAGAGTTGATAACTGCTAAATTGCTCCCATTGGTCTAGATTAAAGCCATTTTTACGGGTTGGTAGTTCTTTTGTTTCTGTCGGCGTGGTGGCAACGACTAATACATACACTGCCTCGGGGCTTCGTTTTTAGTCAAATTCATCGAAAAGGCTTTAATTTCCTTGACAAAAATAGACACCCTAATCCATAGCGTTTACTTTTCCGATCTGAATTCCCCATGGCACTGGGTCCTCTTGTATCGCAATTAGCGGTAAAAAACACCCCATCATCGTGTCTTGGAAAAGGAAGTTTGCTTCCATATGGCTATAGATGTCATTTATGATGGCTTATAATTAAAGTCTATAGAAATTTTATTGAATCGTCTAAGTTTTAATCCCTGAAGCGAGTGTTTGTTCTTAATGCTATTGGTACAATAGTAAGTACTTTGTATTTGTCCCTTCTAATGCGTAAAACAAATACGTGTGAACAGCAGGGGTCTAGAACTGATAGCATCCGATGTTGCTCCGGGCAAAACATTTTGATGGAAAACAATTAAGACAGTTTTAAAATAAAATTTAGATTGAGGTCTTATTGAGAAGTCGTAGTGGAAGTCATTTCCACGTGTGTTGTTAGCCGGTAATTGAGTGGTAATTGAAGCGAATGATTTAGTTTAGTGCATAGCAAGGACATGCTAATGAAGTACACCGGTTACTTCAAGGTGCGAAACTGAAGCGTGAATAGCTAGTCGAAGTGTGATTACACCATCTACTTAATTTGATATTTCTATTTGCATGACACATCACAGCAATAATATTAGTCGTTTGTTTGTATTGTGATTTGTCATGTTTTCTCTGGATACCTATCGATGATGAGATGAACTCTTCAAGAACTCTTATCTTGATTGAACTTGAGCTCGAGTGTTTTCTGTCAAAAAGGGCACGCAAGCAAATTCCTTGTGGTAATGGCCTAAATGATAAACTTAATTACGGCCGTGCAATTTGAGTTTAAGAGATTGCTAATTTGGATAACACTGTAGATATATCAGGCCTGCCAATGATATGGACGTAACTCATCATTTTAAAGCAATTACGCCACGACGCCATATGTCTGAGAGGCAAATAAGCCAGCGGAATAAAACTTGGACAAATTTGATGAAGTCGTTCCAGATGGCAATTAATACTTAACATGTCCTATTAGTGTGATTAAAGTATACATTTATTGATATGKTTTAGTGCTTGACTATATCACAGTAAAAGATGCACTCAAATTAGACTTTGGCCAGAGGGTTCGAGTGTTTCTGGAAGGCGCATTCTGTTGATAGCTTGGGGTTTGGKCGCTTGATGTGCCTTAGTAAGAATATCATTGTGCTCATCACTCAGCCCTGTTTTATCACTAGCTCGCTCTCTCCACCTCATCGTGCTGATAACGAACCCTCCTTTGCTATACTCGAAGATAACACAACACCCGTGTTTACGATGTCCTACAAAATGTATGGTTATCTGGCGAGGAACGAATCGCATTCAAGATCTTGACGATATCGGCCAACATTCAAAGGAAGCTTAGCACGCTTTGCTCTTAATTCTAAGAACTGCTTTTCTCTAAAACATGACACTAGAACAGCCTTTCTACATCCAGAAAATCACTACAACGATAGTGGCAACTTGAAATCTTTTACTGAAAAGATAGTTGAAGGGTTTGAGAAATAGTGGCAGACATGAAAGGAAGATAAGAAAAGTGAAGAGAAACATCTTGCCATACGATAACAAACTATCATCGATAACTGGCAAATTACGAACACTCACGAATCCAAACTAACTTAAATATCTCTGTGTATATATTGTTACTTTATCTRACAATCAGAAAATACTTCTCATTATTAACCTGGGCAAAGCAATTCTTTTTACTCTCGTCATTTCTTGTTTTTAGTCACTATTGTGGTGAAGTTAAATAGCATGGATTTTCTGTAATTAGGATGTCACTAATAGTTTCATTTCCTACATAAACGATTCCGAAAACACAAAAAGTGCTATTTCTAAGTTARATTCAGCGTTTTTTCTGAGTATTCTCATTCGTTTGTTCTTCAACATTGAAAGGTTTTTGAATTCAGAGACGTGATCAAATAAGCCAGACATATCAAGAAATAGATACTATCGAAGGGTTTTCATTATAACTTACAGTTTTACTAATTCAATTAGTTGGACATGCAAAGGATAATAGTGTTATTTTATTAGCCAAATAGACAGTAATCAGAACAAAAAAGATTGTTTTATTAAATTGAATTCAATCGAAATACATTTAATAAAACGAGTTTAAATATCTCACCAAATCTACCTTGAAAATGTTCTTTGACGATGAAAGAACTCTTAAGACGTACCAAAAAAATACACTTCACTTTCAAAAGCTTAAAATTGYACTTTAGCATCACAAATAGCTTAAGCTTGTTGTAATGTTTTGAATACGCTGTTCAAAGGAGGTCCTCTAAAAAAGAGCCTTAATAAATAAAGACTTAGCATGACCGGGCGAGAACAATAAGAGGATATATAACACTACAGTGTTTTTACCTTTTATGTCATTATCCTCTTCTAAAAGACGAAAACAATTTAGTACGCAAATCGAATAAGGAAGTAGTCATTGACTGACTTAAGGCTCATGATAGAAATAGCATTATRGGTTTAGGATTAGGGGAAATAACCCAGAGTCCAGCTGCTTCAYTTTACATAAACAAGTCCTCAGGGGTTAGTACTAGTCGATTACTTTCTATCATTCATAAATATTGATCAAAGGAAATGCGTGGCTTTTTCGTTGTTCTAGTTCAAGGTTTTTTGTATTGATTTTTGCCGAATCGTCAAGTCGAGTTTGGTCTTCTTGATGAGCAAAACAACTTTGACATTTTTCATAACAATGTTACATTGTACAATCCAGGAAAATCGGCTATAGAAACATCTTATTCAATCTGTCTAATCTTGTTGATTAAAGTACTATATAAATAGAAGAAGATTTCCAAGTTCATCTTTGTTTGTTATTTAACGTAAAAAGACTGAAATGAATACAAAAAAGATACAAAAACGGAGACAAAAAAACATCAAAACGTCAAAGTTTAGTTACTAAACCGTCGAAGAAGTTGACGACAAAAAAAAATAAAACATACAAAATCCAACAAAAACAGGAATATGAACACAAAGAAGCAAAAGCAGACGGAAACAATTGGAAAATATATTAGTACCATTGATGTAAATAACGACAAATATTCACACGTAAGAAAACACCAAAAAAAGGAATAATAACAGTGAAAAAATAGCAAAGACGAAGAATTCTTTTTAGCGCGAAGAAATGAAAAGAGATATGTACAATGTTATTACATTGTAAATAGCCACCTTGTAATAATGAAAGTAAAGTTACATATTACTTCCAAATAGGATAATGCAATTCTTGACAAATCACTAATTGGAAACTAATGGAATTCTTAACAAAAATACCGACTCGTTTTATTTGACTTTTTCAAAAGATTCAATTGAAATCGTCACCTTTTAAGTTCTACCCAAGGGCGAATGACACGCTGCCAGTAACGTATGAAGTGGTTTGACACTTTTGAACAGATTTACCACAACGGTTGGCACCTTTAAGACCTTGAGGTGTTGGACAGACACTTGCTACTGGGAATATCGAAGTTGACTTAAGTGACGACAGGACAAGAACAAAGGACTTCAAATCGATCAACAAGTCAACTGAATTTCCCTTTATAAACAAAAGCCTACAATGCCAAGTGAGAGATAGCATTTCACTCACTATTTCTAGCTTTGTTTCTTTTTTGATTAAGTTACAATTGTAAAGATATATGTATACAGTTTTATACTTTTTGTTAATTATGTTCTAAAAAGGTCAAGGCGTTTTAGTTACTTTGATGATAAGTATTTCGGGGATTTCAATTAAAAGTTATCAATCATCACTCTCATTTCACTACTGCTTCATAGCTAAAGTTTTAAGTCCTTAGGCCTCTTTAGAATGACCTTACTGAGATAACGCACGTTCGAATATTTATGGTTCTAGAATACGATTCGATCACTCGTTCTAGAATACATGATCAAATCTACTCCCATAAGCCCCGCCCTTTTGCATGCTAGTGGAATACAGAATGTTTATCCTTCATGYGTATGATCAATTTCAGTAGCCAGAGGGTGACTTAATTATAAATATTTATCATAATGTATTTCTTTTAAAGAAACTTTTGACTGCACGGGCGGCTCTCAATTATTCTCGAAACAAAGACGTTGGAGTTGTTGTAGCAGTGGGAAACATTTGATTAGCTAAGATACGGTTATACGGAAATATCATTCGATGTGATACGGACACGATAAGGTACTTATGGTAGAGGGTCGGTAATTAGCACTCAAAGTCCGTTCCGGTTTCATCACAGTAAGTTCAACATTATTAAGACAATGGCTACACAGCATGACGCTACCTTAGCGTCTCAAAACACTGTTAGAGCTTACAAAGAGTCTACAGCCCTCATTACTGATCGATTGATTAGAACGCTAATAATAAAACAATTTAGAAGCGCGGCACTAAGAGGTTCTTGATCTCTTGCGCTTTAGAATGGTTTCTATTCATTAAGTTAATTGCTTGCTGACCTTTGCTTTGATCATGTTTTCTTCTCTATTTCCCCTTGATGTTGTCTTGCCTTACGACGCTTACATACATAATGGAAAGACTTTCATACCCTAAAAAGACAGATAATATATAGTTCAGTAGTTCTGGARTTAAACAGACAGTTAAGGCGAAGTGTGTACTGACAAACACACAGGTTAATCACTATATTTTGCCKTGTCTCAKTGTTTATAATCACATAAAAAGGTAACAATATATTGCAAAACCAAAACGTAATAGCTTGTTTTCACAGTTTTTGGAAGAAATGAATTGACTCGGCTTTTAAATGAATACAATTCCCTGCATGGCTAGAAATGGGACACTCAAATRTGTATGATRTGAAAAGAMTTCAACAAGGAAAGGAAGTTTATTCTAATAAATCGTTACCACAAGATTTACTCATGTGCAATGCTA